TATATATATATATATATATATATATATATATATATATATTTATTTATTTATTTATTTATTATTTACTATTTGAAGAAAATTAATGTTATTATGTTTCATAATTTTTTATTCTATTTGAAATATAATTTGTCCAAATCTGACAAATTATAAATTATTTTATATACAATATTTTACATGATAAATTCATCTAAAATTATTTTTAGATGGTTCATATGTAGCTATTCTTGAGCACACAAGATACATATTTCTTTACAAAAGACCTGAATTAAATGTCCAAATTGGAAAACAATGGATTATAGATTTAGATAGTGAAACCTATCCTATTATGGGAGCAGTCGCCACAAATAAATATTTAATTATCCTTACTAAAAACAAATTATATCGATTAAATATTTGTTTTTAAGATTAATTACACTCATTTATCGTCGCATATAAATATTTTATATGAATATAATTACAACTATTTATAATTTAATATAATTATATCTATTAATTACTATTGTACAATAATATATATTATGCAAACATAAAAAGTGTTTTTTTTAACTATGAAAATATCAGCTAACAATTTATTTTTATTTATCTCTCATTAAAAATTGATAAATTTATGAAAAAACATTTTTTTAATAGCTATAATCCATCGCAAAATATTCCTACATTTTCAGTTAAAAGAAACACCTTGTATATATACATTTATATATTTATTATTATACATACATTATTTAAAAATTGAGCCATATAAAAATTGAATTGATCAACTACATCAAAATTAATAGTATGATTTTTCAAAATCATCTATTAAAATTAAAAAGTTTTTAAAAAACAAAGTTGATCAATTTAGTATTTAAATGGTACAATTAATAATACCACATTGAAAATTTCTATTATCAATTTCATGTTTGTTTTACTAATAACTTAAACCATTTTGTAATGTTATATTACACTTATCTTTGATAAATTTCGCAAATATATTCATGGTAAGTGACTTATCACTAGGCCAATACCAAATAACACGATTTTTAAAAGATTCTACGAAATTTGCTTCTGCCGAACGCGGTCTATTTTTATCAAATAAATTCTCATTAGTTTTATAATTAAAAACATAAGTCGTACGATGTGTTTTGCTGACATATCGATTCCATGGATTAACAGTACTTCTTAAAAATATTATACTATTTGGTATAAAATATAATTTATCATCACAATTTTGATCATAATGTAAAGATGTTTCTGGAAGTTCGTATACCAAAGCAGGACAATTATTTTTCATTCTACGCTCTTTTATTTGCAATTTTTCACATATATCCGAATTTACTGGGAATAATTCTTTAGCTCGTACTCGAGCATAATTACTTCCCTCTGGTTTCCACAAAGCTTCACAAAATTTCTTTGTAAGCTCATGCCTATAAAAAATAAAAAAACATTAATTTTGCATAATACATTTTTAAAAAACTTTTATTTTGATCTTTATAAAATTCAATTTTTTTACCTTTCTCTTAAATATTTTTGGCTAACATCTTCTCCTCCTAAGATGAATGCATCTATAATATGTAATGCAAGTACTTTTTGCTGATGTCTAAATTCTCTTTTCATTTCATGTACAACTTCTGCATATACAAGTGTATTTGATGGTAATTCTATATTAATATCACTAACTTCTACCCAACCATATTTCAAATAACGATAAACGTTACTTCTTCCCATACTCATATAAAATGTAGCATTTTTTCTTTCATCATCAGGTTGTAATTTAGTACTACATGGCATGCAAAACCAATCATATGGTGAATTTAATAAATTATTAATATTATCTACTTTTAATGTAGTTGCGAAATTAGAAAGAAATGTAGAATCTTTAACAAGAATATTTAATTTATCTTTTGGTTTCATATGTTTCGGAATTGTTCTACTTTCATCAGGAAGTTTCCAATATGTTAAACATTCTTTACGCATATCAGCTTGTTTTGTTTCAACAAGAGTATTATCTTCACAAAATGCAGCAATTTTGCACAGACCTATTATTTGTTTTTTTCCTAAATATTCATTAGAAGTGCGTAAATATTGCAGAAAGTGTTTTTCTTTTTCTAATTCGTCAAATGACACTAATTGTATAACATCATTATTTTCATCACTATCTAATAGTATATGATTAATTTTATTAAAATATTGCATAACAATTTCTGTTCCAGGCCGTTTACTTTTACATATCAAATAACGTTCTGAATTTGCTGGTCTAGAAGAGTTTGGTTTAAAAATACAAATTTCGTCAAAACATCGATACATTAAATAGATTAAACCTGCACTAAAAGGTGTAAATATATCAAATAATTTTGTAACAAAATGACCTTTCTCTCTTACTATCATTAATGCTACTAAACATTGGCAAAGATACAATTGTTTTGAAAGAATTTCTTGTAAGTTTTCTTTTCCCTCAACAGAGAAACCACCATCAGACATCATAAAATGTACTCCTTTATTATGAGTGTATTTCATTATAAGTTCTCTAAATGTTCTTTGATTTTCAGAATCAAAGACATCACCATTATCTTTTGGTCCATAATATGGATGAAATGTTTCAGGAGAACCAGCATAAAAGTCAGCTAATTTAAAATCATTTTCATTTTTCAATGTAAAACCAAACCCTTTAGCATGCCATTTTGTTCTCCAAAGAACATATTCACTGAAACCACCTGGTCCAGCGCATACGTCTGCAAAATATAACAACTCATTTTTTCCCAAATGTTTTCGATCAGTAAACATAAAATTACATGCTCTATCTATATTAGCCATTTTAACAGCGGCACGATTTAGGAAAAATGCACCACGAATTGTTTCGTAAGGATTAGAACGTGTTCTTGCGCGACGAAATTCAACATCATCTAAATTATCAAATACTGTTTTCGAATTAATTATATTTCTAACTATATCCTCATGACAAAAATGAGTTTCATCATCTATAGTCATTTTTTTAGGTCCTATCTGTAACCAAAAATGCATTTCTTCTTTTGTAGGTAAATTTTTATTTGGATTTTTTATCCACTCCATATCTTCTTTACATTTTATTTCTTCTTCTGCAGGATCCCATTTAAGACTTGAAGCTTCAAGCCCAGGAATATTATGACCAAGACCTCTACGTCCATGTTGTTTGGAAGCTTCAACTGGTTCTAAACGACCTTGCTTATTTTTTCCAAGACCATATCCTTCCTTATATCCCATTTTTTTCATCATACGTTTAACTTTGTCAGTGTTAAGATTTTTGGATTCCTGTTTATTTAATTCTTCATTTACATTGAAATTATTTTTATCATTAATATCATTTTCAATCTTATTTTTTACTTTATGAACTTTTTGTCGCTTATTATAATGATAAGAGTCTTCATATATATTCTTCTCTATTCTAATATCTTCTTCATCATTACTTGATGGATCATTTATAGAAATGTTATTAATGTTTTGACTACTACCTTCATCACCTGAATCCTCATGTATCTTTTGTTTTTTATTATAATGATAAGCATCTTTCTTTTTTCTTGTTCTTATTTTATCATCACAATCTGACGAATTATTTATACAAACATTTATACCTGGATTGTTATATTCATTAGATGAATAATAATCTTCATTGCAGTCACTATCATTTAAATCTGAAGTTTCATCTGATAAAGTAGTATAAATGAAATGATTTGTCTTTTTTTTATGTTTTTCATTAGTAGAGTAATCACTAAAAAATGATGAATCTGTTCTTTTTTCTTCAATACTTTCATCATGATCTGTATTAATAAAACTTTCATTCTCATAATCACTCTCATCTGAATCTAAAATGTTAATATAATTTAATTCATATATTTAAATAAAAATATATTTCTATTATTATAAAATGTTAATTAATAAATAGACGCATTTATTTAAAAAAATATTACTTACTGCTCCTCATATTTGTTTCAATTATCGTAACTTTTTAATTCACTAATATTTCTATATTGATTTGTAAAATTTTAATAATTAAAAATAAGAAAATTATATTTTTTTCAAAGAATATACGTATATTCTCTTTCTATTTACATTATTAATATTTAAAAATACTATTGTTATTATAGGTTATGTTTCTCACCACAATCACAATACACAGCACCACATCTACTAAGACACATAGACACGCGTCCGATCAAGTCTCAGAACGGACTGACAGAGGAATTTAACATGAACATCGATAGGAATTTAAAATTGTGAAAACAGCTCCCTCTATTCTCAATACGTATCTAATTGTGTATTGCTAGTAATCTGGTGGGGGGTCCGAGTCATCAAAAGCACTGTCAATCCCAAATTCGGACGATGTCATGGTGGGGTTACATGAAAAGTAATTGATTTATAAAAAAATGAAAATAATTGCTTTTTGATGAAAAATATAATTAACCTATTATGATACTTTTATTTTATATAATTTCTTCTAATAATTAATAATAATTTTGAAATTATAAATTATTATAAGAAAATAACATATAATAATAAAATAAGTATCAAAATTATGCAACTTTAATTTCAAATGTATTATTAAAATATTTAGAAATAAAAGGAACAATTTAAAAAAAAAATTTCTTCAGAATTTGATTATGTACATATTAAAAAAATATATTACATATATTGAGACAATATTAATCATAAATAACAAGAAAACTTTTTTCTTACAAAATATATTCGATAAGTCATAATTTTTTTTTAACAATAAGCATCAACTTAAAATTTGTTACTAATAATGCATTAAATTCTTAAAAATATAAAAAAAATTATGAATATTTGCGAACCGCGAAATTGTAAATGTTTTTCTGCAAGAAAACATTGCAATTTGAACGTGTTTATTTTTGACTATTAATTAAATTTCTTCAATAATATATTAATGATATTATTGATTTAATACAATATATTTCTTTAATATGCAATCAAGTTATAAAAACATCAAGAAAAAAACTTTGACTACATTGAAATTTGACACAAGAAAATGATGATTGTCAATGTGGAATACCTATATGATTATATGTATATAATAATATTGTAGAATCTAGTTCTTAATTCATATTAATTGGATGAATGTTTTTTTTTCATTTTTTAAATATATAAGTATACCTCGAAACATTATTTTTTTATTATTATTACTTTATGTAATACGTGCAAAAATAATTATTTTTGTGACTTTTGTAAATAATTAATTTATGCATATAAATATAATAAAAATATAAATTACAAAAACACTTGGTGAAAATATGATGAAAATATTGAGTTTATTTTGAGTTTTTCAAAAATAGTAACTTGCCGTAGATTTCTGAATAAGTCCCAAAATAGTTTAGAGTAGGAATTGCGAAAACAATAAACAATAAGATAGATGGATGGTCCCGTTAATATCCGTTTATAATAAGTATGGAAAGTATGGAAAGAGGTATATGAAACCTTGTTAATATTATAATATTGCAATGCTACCTGTGACTTTACAATAGAGTATATTTGTAGTAGAAAGAAAATAACGGATATAACAGATTTTGAACGTATTTAATCTTTTATATGTATGATGAATTTTCGAAATTAAAAAATTTTGTATAATTCTTTATATTAGTTTTTTTTAATTGTAAACGATTGTTATTGTTCTTAAAATAGTTTGTATATTTATTTATATAAAAAATGATATATTTATTTAGTATATTTAGATAGTATATTTATAATAAAAAGTTTTACGATTTTTTTATTATTTGAATATGATTATTTGATATCATATGGATATGATTATTTTTAACTATTTGAATATGAAAAAATTTATAACATTCTATATTAGTTTATATTGCTAATATAGAATTATACATAATATTAATATACACAATATACACTATAACATAAGAATATTTAAATAAAATAAAATGAAAAATGATAAAGAAACAAACAATGTATTATTGCAGTATTTATTCTTATATTCTACCATAATACTGTGTAACATACAAGAAATGCACTTTAATGAAACCTACAGAAGAGAATTTGAATACAGAAATATTATTTAACATTATTTACGCCTTTTTTTAAATTGTTCGCCTTGCGCGCTGCATATAAATAATTTGTGTATGCTCTTTTTCTTCTTTCTACACCGGAAAAACAATAAATTCTGTTTGAACAGAAGCGACTCATACAATAATTAACTCTAAGGTACTTTTTAACAAACGTCACTTGTTTTCTATCACTCACTGAAAATTGCATTAAAATATTCACATCTCATATATACTATTGATATACTTTCCGCTTTTGAAAGTCGTGTCATGGTCAAAGAAAAAAAAAATAAGCCATTTTCGCGTTACCTCTCTTTGGTCGTAAAAATTAATAATTCTGCAGTAAAACGGCTTATATGATTAGACAACAATAGGTATTTTCTGCATTTACTTAATTATTTCAAAGACGGAGAACAACACAGAAAGCAAAACGATGACAAAGTATTCACATAATCTTGTTTCTAGTTGTACTGTTAATACTGGTCTTTCATTTTCCTAAAATATTCATTTTGAAATAACATTTTCATGTCGAGTCTAAATATCATTCAATACAAAAACACTAGAGATCTTGATTTCTTTTTTCTTGCGTCAGGATTCTAAAAATTAATATCTGAATAATTGAAAATATTTTTTTGTTAAGTACAACAATGTTTGAAGAATATCCCAATATTGTTATACCATAAAAAAGATATTTGTTTCAATATATCTTTATACCCTTATCAAGGGTCATAATTAACGACAGAATAATTTCGACTAGATTACTTGTCATCTTAACACATTCACTGCCAAATTCATTGCGGTAAGTGTACACTGTCGTTATTCTCTTTAAATGTACTTTTTTACAGTTTAGTACAGTGATAAATTATCAAAATAAGGCAGCAGTGAATCTGTTAATAATGTGATAAGCGATCACTTTTTATTCATCAAGAATATTCTATCTACTAAAACAATGCTGTCTAAATTAAAGCTATAAAACTTAAAAATTAGGTTTTTTTTCTGTTTTTCTTTTGTTATAGCATAGGTTTTAACATGATTAAATAACAAGTACATATTAACATGCGTAACTACTCTTTCATTAGAATCTTCTAGCTTCTTTGTCTATTAATAACAATGTTAAAGAAGCGCTAAATAGATCATCAATTTTGATGGACAGCATTGCCCTAATAGAATATCCCATTTTTTTTAGAATTATGTCTGTATATATTTATATATATATATGCAAACATACATTATATACATATATATATTTATATAAAGAACTGATAAATGTCATTTTTATACATAAAATTGACGCAAATATATATTCTTGCATGCCTCTTTTGCATATTCTTATACTCAACAAGAATGCAATACAGTTATATGCCGTTCTTCTGTGCTGCAGTTCGAACAATTCTAGCAAACGCTTGTCTCAATTTACTCGAGGACGACCAAGGAGCGGTTTTTTCTTTTTATCGTTTCGAATCTAAGAGTGTTCGCAATTTTGCATACACATCTTGATGAAAGTTGGCCGAGCTCTTTCATATTGTAAGGCGCGATGAATCAATAAAGCCGTAATTACAGAATACCTATTTGTTTTTTTTTTTTTTTTTTTTAATTGTACATCTTTCCCGATACCATCGGCGATCTGAACTCTCTCAACTTTCTGGTCTCGTAGAAACGACTAAAATTACGCATTACTAAATTATCAACATTTCCGTTTTTCTTTCTTTGCAATTTAGCATATTATATTTCTTTTTAGCGCTTTTTCTTCAAACTACTTTCTTTTCCTTCTTTTTTTTTAATATCGTTCCTTTTTCCTAATGCGCGTTCAGAACAAACGCATCAACAAATGAAGTATTACAACAACAGGAAGTCTACCGTGCTGTAACTGCGTTTTTCACGCAATGATCGCGTAATTCCTATAATACCTTTACGCTTTTCAATTTCGTTTTTCGATTTCACATTTCTGAGAGGATCATTTTCATTTTTATGATTCGCTCGAAAAAATAAGTGTGATAATGATCACATAAATTATGCTAATACGAATAATCGATCAAATAATTTTTAATCTCCAAAAATACGCGTTTGAAGATATTTTGAATACAAGATATTATGCTCTCAAAAAGACAAGATACGACGGATTCGTATGCTTCATTACTCTGAGAACAATCACGAAAAATGCGAACATTAGCACACAAGGAAAAACAGTGAATAACATTTATATTAAAATAGAAATAATTTGATGAATTTAACCCCTTCACTGTTATGAATTCAATGAATTATTAATAAATTTTCACTGAACTCTATTTATTGAAACGAAATTTTATTCGATTCAATTTATTTTTATCTGATTATGAACTTTTATTTACTCGAATGAAAATTCAATATCAATAATTGATGAAAAACTTTAATAATCTATTAATCTTGTTATTATTGTTATTATATTTTTAATAATTAACATTAGAAAGTGTATAGAAACAAACTTTGTACGAAATTTTTATAACAAAAATCAATATGTTAGTGATCTTTATCATTTTTAGCAAAAGGGTTAAATTACGTTAAAAGAAAAGAAGACGATTTCTTTTATAATTACTTAATTGTTCAACAAGTAATTACAAAAGCTGACATATACGTATATATAAAACAATAATATAACTATGAAAATAGTGTACGCAGATCTAAATAAATCTTGTAATTTTCGCGAAATTTTTAAACATAATACACAAATTGTGAAATCAATTAATACATTAGCCATTACAGAAATTTTGTTATATAGTATTCTCTTCGCTCACTTATTACCATCAATACAATTCTCATCACGCATTTTTTAATGGAATTATATAAATTTAAATAAGATGTATAAGATTTGTTGATTCGAAGATCTCAGCACACATTAAGATCGATTAAGGTTACCGTTTTTTTTTTTTTTTTTTTTTTTAATTAGCCCAGGCTTAAATATGTACCATCATTAAAAGACGCATTATTAAAAATGATAAATATCTGAATCGTAAACTGCATTAACTTCACAGTTTCGTAAAAGTTTGCACAGTAAATTTTGTCGTGCAGTGTACAGTGTTCAACATTCATGCATACACTAACAAGTCTACATTTGACATTAGGAAAAAACTAAATTTATTATTATTAAAAAAGAAAAAGAGAAACAGACAAACAATATTACCGTTTACATAATACGAACGATATCATAGGAAACAATCATTTTTACGCTTATTTCACAATATTTAAAAAAAAAAACGACATAATATTAATTGGATAAATAACGAAAATAGTAACAAATTTAGTTTTCCTAAAATTAATCTTAACGTTGTATTCACTTTTCCATTTCTTTCTTAAACCTTACATAACGAAAGAAAAATGTACTTTACACATATGAGATTAATCCACGACTTCCAATCGTCGTTGATGAACGATCAACAATCTTTAGTACATTTCTCCAGAAACTGATGAAAGGTAGTGGTAAAGTTAACAATTGTGACACAATCGCAAAAATAATAATAATAATAATAATAATTATAATAATAATAACAGACTTGGCAATGCACACATGTGACTACACCAATAAAATATTCGCTAAGTTTTTTTTTTTTTTTCAACCAAATAGAACGATACGCAGAGAAAAAGTGTGAAAATTCTTTGACTCATCTTAGCAAAAATTTAAGCTGCAATTCATTCACGTTACAAAGAAGAATGCAATATAGGAACTATCATGAAACGGATTGTACTGTTGTTGTTGTAATGTCCCTTTATTTCACGAACGATCTATAATTGATAAATCAAAAACAAGTGAAACGTGGCAAGCAATCATTCGAAAATCAAATACAAACGATATTTTTAACTTGATATCTTCCCTTTTTTTTTTGATCGAAATCTTTTTCGACCAGAATCAAACGAAATT